GTAATCAGATCAATCGTAATCCTTTGCGTTGTGTACCCCGCCACATTTCGGCACACCCCTCATGCGGTTCGTGGCCCCATAGGGAGCGCCACCGAAGAAGATACTCCCAATTGCGATATTCACAACTGCATATGGTTGGGTCCTTCGCCAGGATAATTTGACATTTTTTTTGAAAAAAAAAACCATTGGTTTTTTATGTTTTTATGTAAAAATCGCTACGAAAACTAAGGTTTTGGAAGGATTTCGTCTTGCGCGCGCGAATGTCCACTTTACCTTATTTTTTGCAAGGGATGCTTGAAGTTTGGCTATGTTAGAACAAGAAATGTCCACTTTAGCTTATTTTTGGCAAGGAAAAACCGATCGTAACAACACAACCGGATCCGGACTCCCCCGTTTTGCCTGAGATTTCCTCACGAAAATGATGAAAATGAGGCTGCGGCCTAGGCGCGGCGGGGGGTGTCGTGCACCAGGGGCCCCAACAATAATTATTCTTAAGAAGAAATAATGTTCAACAACAACAACAAGGTACAGGCCGGCATGGTCCCCCCGGGGTCCGGGGCTTCACTTCCCGCGTCCGCCACAGTGGAGGAGGCCGGTCCCGCCCCCCCGGTGAGTCGGAGGGGGGGGGGGGGGAACACAACACAACACAACGAATTCTGTACGAATTCTGTACGAATTCTGTATGAATTCTGTATGAATCTCCTATAGATCTCCCTGTGGATCCCTCAAGGGACTCTATAGATCCTTGTGATCCCTCCAGGGACTCTATAGATCCCTCCCTCAGGGACTCTATAGAATCCTTGTGGGATCCCTCCAGGGACTCTATAGAATCCCTGTGGATCCCTCCAGGGACTCTATAGAATCCCTGTGGATCCCTCCAGGGACTCTATAGAATCCCTGTGGATCCCTCCAGGGACTCTATAGACTCCCCCCAGGGACTCTATAGAATCCTGTGGATCCCTCCAGGGACTCTATAGACTCCCTCCAGGGACTCTATATAGAATCCCTGTGGATCCCTCCAGGGACTCTATAGACTCCCTGTGGATCCCTCCAGGGACTCTATAGAATCCCTGTGGATCCCTCCAGGGACTCTATAGCCCCGTGGAAAGGAAACACCAAGCCCGTCCTGCGGGGGAAGAGCGCCAACGGGACGCCCCTTGCGGGGCAGCGAAAGCCTTCGGTTGCGCCCCGTGTGGGGCCACGAACCGTGTGAGGGGTGTGCCGAAATGGGCCCGAAGCCTTCGGGTGCGCCCCCTGGGGGCCCACGAACCGTGTGAGGGGTGCGCCGAAAGGGTCCCGAAGCCTTCGGTTGCGCTCCGTGTGGGGCCACGAACCGTGCGAGGGGTGCGCCGAAATGGACCCGATGCCTTCGGTTGCGCCCAGGGGGCCACGAACCGTGCGAGGGGTGTGCCGAAATGGGCCCGAGGCCTTCGGTTGCGCTCCGTGTGCAGCGACGAACCGTGTGAGGGGTGCGCCGACATGGACCCGATGCCTTCGGTTGCGCCCAAAGTGGGGCCACGAACCGTGTGAGGGGTACGCCGAAATGGACCCGAAGCCTTCGGGTGCGCCCCTATGTGGGGCCGCGAAAGCCTTCGGCTGCGCCCCCTGTGGGGCCACGAACCGTTTGAGGGGCGCGCCGAAATGGACCCGAAGCCTGCTGCGCCCCCTGTGGGGCCACGAACCGTGTGAGGGGTATCCCGAAATTGATCCGAAGTCTTCGGCTGCGCCCCGTGTGTTGCAACGAACCGTGTGAGGGGTGCGCCGAAAATGGCCCCGAAGCTTTCGGCTGCGCCCCCTGTGGGGCCACGGGCCGTGTGAGGGGTGCGCCGACGTGGACCCGAAGCCTTCGGGTGCGCCCCATGTGGGGCCGCGACAGCCTTCGGTTGCGCCCCTTGTAGGGCCACGAACCGTGTGAGTGGTGCGCCGAAATGGACCCGAAGCCTTCGGCTGCGCCACCTGTGGGGCCACGAACCGTGTGAGGGGTGCGCCGGAATGGACCCGAAGCCTTCGGGTGCACCCCATGTGGGGCCACGAACCGTGTGAGGGGTGCGCCGAAATGGACCCGAAACCTTCGGCTGCGCCCCGTGTGGGGCCACGAATCGTATGAGGGGTGCGCCGAAATGGGCCCGAAGCCTTCGGGTGCGCCCGATGTGGGGCCGCGAAAGCTTTCGGCTGCTCACCTTGTAGGGCCACGAACCGTGTGAGAGGTGCGCCGAAATGGTCCCGAAGCCTTCGGCTGCGCCCCCTGTGGGGCCACGCACCGTGTGAGGGGTGCACCGAAATGGGCCCGAAGCCTTCGGGTGCGCCCCATGTGGGGCACGAACCGTGTGAGGGGCGCTCCGAAATGGGCCCGAAACCTTCGGCTGCGCCCACATGTGGGGCCACGAACCGTGTGAAAGGTGCGCCGAAATGGACCCGAAGCCTTCGGGTGCGCCCGATGTGGGGCCGCGAAAGCCTTCGGCTGCGCCCCCTGTGGGGCCACGAACCGTGTGAGGGGTGCGCCGAAATGGGCCCGAAGCCTTCGACCGCGCACCTTGTAGGGCCACGAACCGTGTGAGGGGTGCGCCGAAAGGGTCCCGAAGCCTTCGGCTGCGCCCCGTGTGGGGCCACGAACCGTGTGAGGGGTGCGCCAAAATGGGCCCGAAACCTTCGGCTGCGCCCCCTGTGGGGCCACGAACCGTGTGAGGGGCGCGCCGAAATGGGCCCGAAGCCTTCGGGTGCGCCACATGTGGGGCCGCGAAAGCCTTCGGCTGCGCACCTTGTAGGGCCACGAACCGTGTGAGGGGTGCGCCGAAATGGTCCCGAAGCCTTCGGCTGCGCCCCCTGTAGGGCCACGAGCCGCGTGAGGGGTGCGCCGAAATAGTCCGATGGAACCCTGTAAGGGTTCTATGGGACTCCGATGGAACCCTGTGGGGGTCGAATGGGAGCCCGATGGAACTCTGTAGGGGTTTTATGGGCGTCCTATGGAACCCTGTAAGGGTCGTGTGGGAATCCTATGGAACCCTGTACGGATCCCACAGGATCCTCCTGTAGGGGTGCGTTGTGTTGTGTTGTGTTGTTCCCCCCCCCTCCCCCCCTCCCCCCCCGGGGGGGGCTTGCCCCGCCTGTATCAACAACAACAACAACAACAACAACAACAACAACAACAACAACAACAACCACGACATGATCATGGTCGTCATCATCCGAATCATCGGGATCATGACCAACGTCAACCTCAGTATCACCATGATCAACAACCACTTAGGCTGGTCGTTCTTCGTTCCTAGCGCGACAGCGGAAACTCGATATTCTCCATCGTCGCAGTCGATCGTACTCCCTTTGGGGATATTCCTTGCTTGCCACGTGTAGCTGGTGCGGCTCATAAAATGGAAAGGGAGAGGAGAGGAAGGGAGGAGGAAACGAGAAGGGAAGGCGGCAAAAGGGACGGAGAAGAATGGAGGACGAAAACGAACAGGAGGTGGCAAAGAGAGGAGCAGGAAGGTTGGCAGGCAGACCCCAACGGGCAAGTCGGGCGGGCGGACCCAGCGGGCGGGCCGTGCGGGTGGACCCAACCGGGCGGGCCCGGCGGGCGTGGCATTGAAGCGGGCGGGCGGGCTTCCAGGCAAGCAAGCGGACGGACCCTTTACGGGCAGGGGAGGCGGGCGGACCCTCACGGGCATGTGGGCGGGTCGGGCGGGCGGTCCCTAACGAGCGGGTCAGGCGGGCCACTCAGGCGAGCGAGCGGGCTTTCACGCAGGCGCGGGCGGGCGGGCCATGACGGGCGGGTCGGGCAGGCGGACCCTAGCCGGCGGGTCGGGCGGGCGGGCCCGAAACTGGAGGGTCGGGCGGACGGGGCGCTGAAGCGGACTTCGCAAGTTGTGGCAAAATCTCCGACGACAGTCCAACTGCTGCTAACTGAATCGACGGGGAGTTTCGAGCGAGACCGCGAGTCCTGAACAAATTGCGCGGAAGTCCCCGGAAGCAGCCGCTGTCGAAGTCTCACTCTCGAAGAGTAGTTGTGGTCGATCCACCCACCTGTGCATATTGTGTTTTTCCCTTGAAGTGCCCCCGTCGGAGCTCGCACCCTGTTTTCATCTGGGAGGATCGTCCTGCTCACACTGTGTTGTTGCCCACCCCGGCTAAACAACGACTCCCACCTCATATGTCCTCTCAACTTATTCCGAAATCGCGTTTTCGCACGACACTTCCTCACAGTTTACGCAGGATTCGGGCTCTCGCTTAACATCCTTACAATTTATTCAGACGCCGCGCCCTCGACATTCAAGAATCACGCTCTTGCTCAGGCCTTTCTCACGACTTACTTGGGAATCGCGCTATCGCTCGAGACTTCCTCGCGATTCTTGCAAGACGCACGCTTCAGCAACCCGCCTGCTCGACCTGGCCGCCTGGGCCCGCCTTTTCGACCCGCCCGCTGGGGTCTGCCCGCCCGATATGCCCGTCTGGTTCTGCCACGGGTTTTCTGCTCCTGTCCCCCCTCCTGCTAATTCTCTCGTGCACCATCCTCCTCTCTCCCTTTTCCATCCGTCCTCTCTTCCCCTGCTTTGAGGGCTGCACTACATGCACGTGGCAGGTAAGGAAGACATACCCCCGAAAGAAGAAGATCGAAGACGAAGAGGGCGGGCACCGAGAGTTTGGGATATACGTGTTGAATGGCACGCGGCAATATCAGAGCCAACAGTCTTAAAATGATTGCTGTTCTTGTAGTCCACGGGGCTGGGGGCGCAGGTTGAGCAGGAAGACTTTCCTCGACCAAAAAATCAGGGTACGAACCCCAGGGGCGCATTGAAAAAACATAGACAAATCATAGCGGGCACCGGTAGCGGGGATCAACAGCAATCATTCTTGAGACGTGAAACTTCGACAACATCATCATCCACACCCACATCCCCATCCTCCCCCCCTCCTCCTCCCTCCCTCCATCCCTCCCTTCCTCTCCCCTCCTCTTGTCCCCCCTCCCCCCTGCCATCATCATCCTCCTTCTCCTGGGAGCTGGACTCCTGCACTCCGACGAAATAGTGACCTCCATGCGGACCTTCCGCTGCTTCGGGCCCCTCAGGCAGCGGAGGACGGCCTGGTCGCCGTGCGTGCGGATCTCGAAGTACCGCTCGGACCAGCCCGACGACAGCATCGTCTCCCGAAAGCGCATCAGGGGGCCCTCCTTGAGCAGGATCGTCTGGCCGCTGCTCTGCGACGTGATTCGCCGGAGGCGAACGACCTCTCGCTGGAGCTCCGCCACCTAGAGGAAACGAAAAGAATCGCACAAGCAGAAACTATCAGAGGTCCAGCGCCGACCCAAGCAATCCGAACGGACACCCGAGACAAGGGCATCGGCAGCTGTGTAGCTTTCGTATCTTGCACAGATCTGTGTCCCAGAGCTCGGAGCCCTCCGTTCGCTCCTCCTCCCCCCGGCCCCGCCCCCCCCCACCTACCTGGCTCCGCCCGGGTCCTCCACAGAGCCCTCCCCCGTGGCGCCGCTCCCACGCCTCCCTGGGCCGCGGCCCCCTCGCGCAGGAGCCGAAGTAGCTCTTCCCCCCGGGGCTCCGCCCACCAGCGCCGCGCCGCTGCTCTCCGCCTCCCTGCGGTACAGCTCGGCCGCGGGCTGGCTCTCCAGCAGGCGCACGCAGCGCGCGCCGTCCGTGCCGCCGGGCGGCACCAGGATGCCGAGGCCCCCGACCTCGGGGCGCCCGGCGCCGCGGCTCCCCTCGTCGGCCGACGCTGGGTGGTCGAGACGTGGCCACGCTCTTTATGCGGTCTCCACCAACAGGCAGCCCCGCGCCCATCTGGTCAGAGCTCGCGACGCGAGGTGGCCGAGGATGCCCCCCGAGCAGTTCGAATCGAAGAATCATCGCGACGCGGCGGTCGGGCAGCCACCGACTGGACACGACCACGAGACCCAGACAGCCAGGCAACGAGAGGGACAAGAAGGGAGGCAGGAACGGCGGGGAAGGCCAAGGGGCCAGGAAGGGGGACAGCCAGCAGCTTGGGGAGAACGCAGGTCAAGAACACGCTCCCCGTCGCCGAAGGCCCACGACCGAGGTCCGAATCGAAGAGCATTCCAGGGTGAAGATCCCACGCACGAAGAGCGGCGGAGTACCCCTCCACAGCTTCGGTTGCGCCTAGCCCTCGTGTCAGCTGTATCCATACGCCTGCTGTTGCCTCCAGCACACTCGACGCCAAGGGGCCAGGACAGAGCAAAAAGCGTCGTTGCATCCAGAGGTCGGACTTTTACCGATGTCCCCGCTGAGGCCCCCGACCCCAAAAATCAAAATCCGATAACGTGACTTGTTTGTGCGACCTGGGACCTAGATGAACAAGAAACGTCACCGAAAACGAACAAACATTCGAAGGCCGGCGCGGATTTCTTGGATCGTTCTTCACCCTGAATCGTTTTGGCCTCAGGACCCAAAACGGGCCTCCAAGAGAAGAGATGGCGCAAAAAACGTGACCACCGTGATGCTTCACGGCGCCGGAGGCCCGTCAGAATAAACCGTGCTGTCGGAAATTTACCATGCAGGGGGGCTCCAGCTGGGGCGCGCTCTCGATGCGAAGGCAGGTACTGGGCGCGCGATACGAACGAAGAAACCTACTGTCGCCAGGATGGACTGACGTCCCTGCAAGGGATGAAGGTGCGCCTGTAGCACGCTGGCACTCTGAGAGGACTGCGAAAAGACGATAACACACACACGCACACACAGCCAGGATGTGAAAGATGAGGATGAGGAGGAGGAGTGGAGGAGGGCCTGAGAAAGCAGGAACGCCACTCGGAATGTGGGGAACAATATGTGCATCCGTCACCGTGCCCGCACAGCGTGGGCGCGTTAGAATGCTTGTCTGTTGTCAGGAAACTGTTTACGAGCTTCCTGGGGCCGAGCCCGCCCGTCGGCGCACGCGTCCCTTGGAAAAATCGTCCCCTCGAAATTTGCTCTCCGGCGCTCTCTTCGGCTTCAGGACGGCCAGGATGGCCTCCAAGACGGCTTCCCGGGCAGCCAAGATGACACCAGGACAGCCCAGGATGGCCTGAGACGGCGCAAGAGGCTCCCAAGACGGCCTCCAGGCACCTCAAGAGACCCCCAAGACAGCCTAAGAGGGCTCCAAAAGAGGCCCTTCTGCAGAGCCCGCAGAAGCGAAAACCTCTGATGTCCCTCAAGTTTTTTAAAGGATTTTGAAGTTCTCGCCTTTGGGGGTTTCCGACCGCCCAAGACGGCCCAAGAGGCCTCCGAAAGAAGATCGCCCAAAAGGCTCCCAAGAGGGCTCCAAGACAGCCCTGAAACGACCCAAGAAGCCACCAAGACGGCCCAGAGAGACGGGCCAAGAATTTCCTAGGACAGCCCCCCAAAGAGGCCCCCAAGAGGCCCCAGGAGACCACCAATGCGCCCCCAAGAGGTCGTCAGGAGGCTCCCAGAAGTCCCCAAAAGAGTCCCAAGAAGACTTTTTCTCCTCGTCCGCATTATCTCCTCTTCCTCCTCCTCCTCCTCCTCCTCCTCCTCCTCCTCCTCCTCCTCCTCCTCCTCCCTAATTACCACGCGGACGAAGACGCGGTCGAGATCACGAACCTCCACAATTCAGACCAATCGCTTGACTGCCGCGGGGCGTGAACTCGACAATCTTCCTACGGCGCGGGCCAAAACGAGGCCGAGTTCACGGCCCGTCCAAATTCAGACCACTCGTCGGAATTGCGCCGTTCCTACACTCAGCCTCTATCCTGCTGCGCTGTTGCGCATGCACGGTGGCGGGGTTTGCCGGAGGCAGCTGGATAAACTCTCGGAGGTTCACTGCACACCCACGCACGCTGGTGCCATTGCCCATGTGCCCACGGACACGCGGCGCGGCTTCAGGTGTGGCCTTGGCCCCACTGGCCGACTGACCCACCCAGCTGGGAACATGCGATCCAGGGCTCCCGCACCCCCCCCCCCAATGCTAATGGGATCGCACCCCCTCCGGCTGCATGAGCACGCCCGTGAGATGGCCTCGCGAATGGGATCGCCTTCCCATGTGGGCGCGGCGTGGTGGGGGGTGCCGGAGCCTCCCCCTCCCCATGTTGGGTGTAGGGTGGTTTGTCGTTGTCGGTTCGTCGTCGTCGTCGTCGCCGTCGTCATCGTCGTTGTCGCCGTCGCCGCCGCCGTCGTCGTCGCCGTCGCCGTCGCCGCCGTCGCTCCACCCCCCATCGCATCTGCGGGGGGGGGGGCTTTGGAACCCTGGGACCCATCCCATCTGGGGGAGGGCTGTGAATCCTCAACCCAGGATCATATATGCCTGTCCCTTCGGGTTCTGCGGAGCCTATCCCCACCTGGGAGGGTGGGCTGGCGGGGCTGAAATGCCATGGACCAACGGGGATGGGGACTGGGATGGGTTGGACGATGCTGATCAGAAGATCCTGGAGGTCTCGCGCGGCAACCTGAGGCCCAGTTTACGTCGGGTCCACGACGGACTTGCGTCGGGCTCACGTCGGACTGCGTCGGATTGACGTTGGATTTACGTCGGACTCACGTCGGAGCATCGCCGCGCGAACGTCGTCCCGTATCCAAAGGGGCGGTCATGTGGACTAGACTATACAACTATTGAGAGCCGCGCGAGGCCTCCATGATTTTCCTCATTGGGGAGAAGCCCCTACAGGGCCGCGCCGCAACAGCGTCGAACCCCTGTCGAAGACGTCGAATCTCCGTGCCGAATCCGCGCCGACCTCACGCCGAGTCCGTGCCCGACCCGCGCCGAAGTGCGGGAGAGGACTGCCGCTCACGGGACAAACGGGAGGAGGAGGAGGAGGAGGAGGAGGAGGAGGAGGCGGAGGAGGAGGAGGAGGAGGAGGAGGAGGAGGAGAGGAGAGGAGGAGAGGAGAGGAGGACGCGGGGACCAGCACTCCTCCCCCGAAGACGCAGAGCAGCGCGAGGCCGAGGGGGCCCCCCAGACAGGGGGGGCCTGCACGAGCGTGTGGTCCCCGCCCGGGTCCAGCGCGCCCGCGGGCACCCGGGCGCCGCGGCTCTCGGGCTCGGCGGGGTCGTCGAAGACCCACACGCCGGCGGGGGCGGCCGGCCGCCACCTCTCGGAGTAGGCGGAGGAGGATGGAGGGAGGAGAGGAGGGGAGGAAGAGAGGAGGAGGAGGAGGAGGAGGAGAGGAGGAGGAGAGGAAGGGGAGGAGGAGGAGGAGGAGGAGGAGGAGGAGGAGGAGGAGGAGAGGAGGAGAGGAGTAGGATGAGGAGGAGGAGGAGGAGGAGAGGAGGAGGAGGAGAGGAGGAGGAGGAGGAGGAGGAGGATGAGGAGGAGGAGGAGGATGAGGAGGAAGGAGGAGGAGGAGGAGGGGGGGGGGGCGCAGAGGCGGGGCGCCCACGAGGGACGATCGGCAGGGTCGCGTCGCCGTGACGCCGTCTCTGACACCCCGTGGGTCGTTCCACCTCGAAGGATCATGGCTCTCTGATGGGACAGATCGTTCGCTAGTGGCCGATTCTGGGCCGCTGGCGGCGTTCCGACTTGAGCGCCCTCACTGGGGTCGTCACCACCGCGGCGACGCGGCGCGAACCTACCGTACGCGCCAAGTCACAGCCCTCCCAGGTGCAGCCTGGGAGCGATTCTGGTATTGGTGTCGCTTTCATCCTCTTCATCCTCCACCTCCCTCTCCTCCTCCGTCATCCTCCTCCCCTCCTTTTCCTCCTCGTCCTCCTTCTCCTTTTTGACGTTAGACCAACTAGAGGTGGCAGGCTGGAGCATGCATGGGTGCAAGAAACACGACTTAACGCTGCGGTAAAGGCAAAGGCCGCGGACGGGTGCAGAAAAAAACAGGCTATGAGGCAGGCGAAAAATAGCAGCCCAAGAGGGCGAGAGTAATCCGGTCGGCGGCACGAGGAGGTGAGGGCTACCAGTCCAAGCTTACATAACATGTAGAGGGAGGTACCGAACGAGGGAGACTAGCTACAGCTGCAGGTGGTCCGGTTGGAAAGACTTCCCGCCTCCTCCCGCAAGTAAAAGGAGTGAATTGTCACCACGCATAGCTAACAGGCGACACGTAGTGAGAGGCTGCCCTGTGTCTCCTGTCCCCCACCCGTCCTACCCATACGATAAGGATAATCACCACATCCCCCCATCTTTTAATCCAGGCCAGCTGTGCCAATGCAGAAAGAGAGAAGTAGAGCGAAGCAGATAAGACAGACTGGACCCTCAAAGAGCAAAGAGCGAGTGCACAGCGAGCACGAAAGTCGGGATGGGCTGGCACAGTCTGGGCTGGCTGGCCCTGCTTCTCTGCAGGCGCAAGCTGGCGAATGGGAGGTAGCGCATGGCAAGCTAAGCGCACTCGGCGTGATAACTCGTGGAGACGAGGCCCTGCAGAATCTCTCGCCCCCCACTTGGCCCATCAGACCCTGCAACGAGGCCCCACCACCCGAACCTATATCTCTAAGCCGGCAGCGCCAGGCCCAGTCACAGTCACAGTGCTGTAAGCAATGAGGGTGACTAATGTCCTCCTCCTCCTCGTGCAATTTCTCCTCCTCCTCCTCCTTCTGTTCCTCCTCATCATGTTCCTCCTCCTCCTCCTCCTCCTCCTCCTCGTGTTCCTCCTCCTCCTCCTCCACCTCCTCATCCTCCTCGGGCAGGGGTACGGGGAGAATCGCTCCAAGCGGCCCCTGGGAGAGGGAAACATGAACACTCGGCCAGACTCGCTCCCTGGACCCCATCTTTGCGGTGGAACGCTCAGGGGGGGAGAGGCTCAGGGGGGAAGCCTCGACCTGGGACCCGTGATAGTCACACTGCCAGTCGGCGACGGGCCGCCGACGCCGAAACCGCACGCTCCCGGGCGGGACGGGCTCTCGGGCCCCAGATCGCGGAGTTGCTAGGGAGGGGGAGGGAGGGAGGGAGGGAGGGAGGGGAGGGGGGAGGGAGGGAGGAGGGAGGTAAGGGATGGAGGGAGGGAGGGAGGGAGGGAGGGAGGGGAGGAGAGGATGAGGAGGCGAGGAGGAGGAGGAGGGATGTGGGGGGGGGGAGAAGGGGGAGGCGGGAGGAGGAGGGAGGAGGAGTAGGGAGGAGGAGGAGAGGAGGAGGGGAGGAGGAGGAGGAGGAGGAGGAGGAGGAGCAGGAGGAGGAGGAGGATTGGGGGTCGATGCATCCCCCACTTGAGCCTACAGTCGTCGTGCTACCACAGGGAGCGCCGAGCAAGGCACGAACGCGCTCTTCTGGCCGCGGCCGGCCTCGGCCACGAGCGGGCTCCCCGGACGGCAGTCGAGGGAGCGGCCCGAGCACAGGAGCTCCTCCTCCTCCTCCTGCTCCCCCCTCCCCCTCAAATCCTCCTCCCTCCTCCTCCTCCTCCTCCTCCTCCTCCTCCTCCTCCTCCTCCCCCTCCTCCTCCTCCTCCGACAGGGTGATCCTTGCCTCAGCGTGCTGACAGCACACCCCCTGACGTTGCCACCGGCACCCCCAGCTGCGAGGAGGGGGCAACGAGGGGCGGGCTGGCACGGGGGAGAGCGCATCGACCCGGAAGCGGCAGCACCTCGCCGACAGAGAGCGGCGAGGGGCCCCCGCGAGAACGAGTCCCCACGACTCCTGGGCAGGTCGGGGCCCTCGGGCCCCTCTCGGCGCTCCGTGGGCGATTGGGCGATTGGGGGCAGAGGTCGGGGGGCTATCGGGCCCCCGTCGTTGCCCCCGGCCCCCCATCTGCGAGCCACCGACACCTCTTCGGCGTGGAGACCGGCGGCAGGCACCGCTCGTGAGGCATGGGCGGGCGCGCCGCCGCAGCGGCGCGGACGGGAGAGGCCTCGGCGCCACGGCCTGGGGGCAGGGAGATCTGGCTCGCCCAGGGGCGTCGCTCGCGGGAGCGGGCCCCTCCTTGAGAGGTCGTGGCGGCGCCTGCTGCCGCGGCACCCCAGAGGAGGGATGGGGAGGGGCGCGGGAGGATGGAGGGAGGAGGGGGAAGGGAGGAGGGACAAGGGGGGGACGAAGCACGAGGGATGAACGAGGGAGGGACGGGGGAGGGACGAGGGACCAGGGAGGGACGAAGGGAAGAGGGAGGGACGAGGGAGGGACGAAGGAGGAAGGAGGAGGGGGGAGGCGAGTGGCAGGAGGAGGGCGGGAGGGAGGCAGGAGGCATGAGGGGAGGAGGCAGAAGGCAGGAGAGAGAAGGGGAAGCGAGCGGGAAGAGGGAGGAGTGAGGAGTGAGGATGGATGAGGGATGAGGGATGAGGGATCGATGGATGGATGAAGGTCATCCCACCGAGGTGACATGTTGATGCTGCGGGCACAGCGGGCGTCCGACAGCTCAGCAGCCCAGCAACGCCGAGCCAACGAGGGGCGTGCCCTCTCGAAAGGGGGCGCGGTGCGGGAGGGGGAGGTGGAGAGGGCGCGGGGCGGCAGGGGGATGAGGGATAGCCGACAAAGGAGGGAGGACCGAGGAGGCAAGAGGCAGGAGGGAGGCAGAAGAAGGGGGGGGGGAAGAGGAGGCAGGAGAGGATGGGGGAGGAGGGAGAAAGGAGGAGCAAGGGAGGGAGGGAAAAAAGGAGAAGGGAGGAGGACGAGACAGAGAGAGAAGGAGAGAGGTGTGATGAGGGTGGAGAGGGAGGAGGAGACCTTGATAGGAACTCCAGACCCAATTATGTAGAGTCGCCTGGCGTGCAGGGGGGACTTCTCACCTCCGCGCATCCTGAAACATCCAGTGCCATGGTGATGCTCAAGACATGTACTGCAGACTTGCACTCAAACTGTGCGCGTTGATACAGCATTCGCAGCCCAATGCCGAACCCGTTTCGACAGTTCTGCTTTTGTGCAACAGACTGCTTGATAGAACCTTGCCTGGTCAACATAGTGACCAGTCTGAGACAAGCGAAACCTGAAACCTGGCCTCGGCATGGGAACTCGCTGTGGCGATCGGCCCCCGTCGTGTGAATACATAACGAGCCTGGCGCGCTTGGCAAGAGCACGACGAAGAACGGACGCTGGAGGCGTTCTACGAATCAATGCACCAAAGCACTGCGTGATAAGATGCGACCTCGTATGGCATGCTCACATCCGTAGGCGATGAGTCTTAGCGCAGCGTAACGACTGAACTCGTTGCATAATGGTACATGGCTGCAACCTGACACGACTGCCAAATGCAGTCCCTGCGCTACGGGTGCACGGACGACCAGAGGGGGCGTCGCGCGTGCGCCTCCGCGCAGGAACAGAGCACGGCCCCACTCTGTGTTGAAGCCTGCCCCGAATTCGGTCGTGCCCTTGCAGACTCGGGCGACGGATCGCAGCTGCAGGCCCGAATTGACAAACAACTAGCAGCCCCCGTGGCGCGGCAGGCCCGCCGCGCGCGGGGACAGGTGGAGTGCGGAGTAGTCCCCGTCGTCTCGGAGGGCGGTCTCCACATCCTCGAGGGCAGAAGAGAGCTGGGCCAAGCAACCCCTCAACATGGGGGGGGGCGGGGGGGCAGCA